GCTCGCGGCTGCGCTCCAGGCCCGAGACCTTGGGCGCGGACCCCGCCTTGGCCTCCGACTTCTCGCCCAGCGTGGGGCCTGCGGACAGAGGGGCTGGAGTGAGCCACGGCCCGCGCCCTGGCTCGTTTAATGCAGCCCACGGCCTGCGAGGTCATAGCCCCGCCCAGCCCCCCACACTGCACGAGGACAGAGGGCCGAATGCCCGAAAGTGTTGTTCACACCGACCGCGGACGGCACACAGTACTGCGGCCCTGGTTGACATGCAGCAGAGTGGGCCCAACAGAGCACTGGCCTCGGGGCCTGTCCCACCTGGCTGTTCCCCTCCCCCTTCCCCCCTTTCCTTGCTGCTCTGGGCAGAGCGCCTCATGCCAGTGACCCACTCTTTCTGGAAAGACCCAGGGGACTTAGGGAGGGCAGGCATTTGTGACCCAGCTGGCATCAAGACCACCAGGACGTCTGCTGGGGACTCTGGGACGCCACCCTCTCGTGAAAACAGGAAACAGCCCCTCAGCCTCCTCTAAGGTGACACCTTCCTCTGCAGCCACCACCTTTGCTCAAGGACAGACCAAGGGAGGAGGCCACTGCCCTGAGGGCCGATGGCTTGAGCTGGTCACAGCCTCATCTCCACCTGTCACTGACAGCTGCCCAGGGACGCTGGCCCCACACTCCCATCTCCCCTCCTGTCTTGCCTACATCCCCACACCAGCCCTCGAGAAGCAGGAGCAGCCATCAGGATGGGAAAAGGCAGGCGGGGGCCACCAATGCCCCAGCTCTCCGGGGCCTCCCGGAGCCTGCGCCCCTCTCCGGGAAAGGAGGACCGTTGACATTGATCACCGCTGACATGCCCCGCTTCTGGGCTCCTCAAAACTTTGGCTGGTTCCCTGAACTCTGCCCATGTGCCTGAGTGGACCCTGGCAGGGGGCTGAATCGTGCCCAAAGGGTACTAGTGAACGTGGCCTCCGCAGATGTAATCAAGCTAGAAACCTGGAGATGAGATCTGCTTGGAACAGGGCGGGCCCTAAATGCGGCCGCAGCCCAGGGACGTCCGGGTTTGCTGGAGGTGACGGGAAGGCCCCTCTGCCTTGGGCTGCCAGGCCGTGGGGCCTATGGCTGTGGACACCTGCCCACGTGTGCCACTGTCCTGCCCAGTCACATCTGGACAGAGCCTTCCAAGCAGAGGCCCCTTTTCTGTGCTGGGTCTAGGCACAGCCGGGCCTGACAAGCTGGTCACAAAGGCCTGGCTTGGCCTGGAGTGCTTCTGGGTCCGTGAAATGCCGCACGCGTGCACTGTCCGCACGGCGGGGGGGCGGGGGGTGCACCAGCTGGGGACTGACTTCGGGGGAGTGTCTGTCCTCCCCAGACTGGGGCCCAGGCCGTGGGACGCACTTACCTTTATCAGCTGCCGGGGCAAAGAGCTTCTCAGAGCCCACGGACGCCTAGAAGAAAGAGGGGGGTCAGAGGAGGAGGGGCTCCAGGGCTGCGCCGAGCCTGGCACCCAGGAAGCGGGTCTGGGAAGGTGGGGCACAAGGGCTGCCCGATGGCGCACACAGTCCGCTCAGCCCAGGACTGGGGAACCATGGATGCCCCACTCAGCAGGGAAGCGGGGCTCAGTGTGGCTGTCGGGTGGGGGCTGGGACTTGGGGATCTGGGCACCCCTGGTGATGCCAGCACCAGAAGTCTTGATGCCCCCACCCCCCAGAGGCAAACAGGCCGCAGTAGACCACCAGCCACACTTTGGGCCACCAAGTCACAGGTCTGGGGACCATGGCTACCATAAAGAGCCACTCTGAGTGTCCAGGGCAGAGCAGGCCACTCAGAGCGCGGAGAATCCGCCTCAAGTAAGAGCGGGGTGGTCTCTGGTGGACCCCACCTCGCTCTCTTCCTGTGTGCACGAGGCCACGGAACTGGGGTCCGCCTTGGTGAGGGTGCTCAGGGTGCAGACGTAGCCCCTCGATGTGTGGCCGGAGGCCCCCACAGCTCATGGGAACCGGGTGGTGTGAGTCTGCCCCAGGAGACTTTTCCTCCCGGTTGTTTTTCTGTTAAAAACAGCGCTATGCCATCTGCCCGTCGAAGGTGTACAGCTGAGTGGAATCTGACGGTCAGCTTAGAACGTCGTCTCCCCAAGCCCCAGCCCAGCACTACTGCTTCGCTCTGTGTCTGCAGACACCCCCACTCTGCACTTCTGGGTATACAAAGGAGCCAGTGGTTGCTGTTGGGGTGGGTGACGAAGTATGAAAGCTGCACCCCACGGAGCCGCCGCGAACAAGACCGTGGAACAGCAGGTGCTAGAGGGCACATGGGAGCTGCCACCCGTACACGGCTGGCAGGAGTGTGCCACGTGCAGCCACGGCCGCAAACGAGCAGAGCCTCAGAAATCAAGCAAGGAGTGACCCGCCGACCCAGCCATCCCGCTCCAGGGCGCGACTCTGCAGGAACTGAACACAGTGTCTGCACGCCCACACTCACTGCAGCCACACTCACGACAGCTGGGAGGTGGAAGCCACCCAGTGTCCGCCACGGGTGAACGGAGAAGCACGTGTGGCCCACCCAGAGTGGAATACCACGCAGCCTTGGAGAGGAAGGACGTTCTGACACATGCCACAACCTGGATGGACTTTGAGCACATTATGCTGTGACACAGTCAGTTACAGAACAGATACTGCGCGGGTCCACTTACATAAAGTCCTTGCAGGGGTCAGATTCATGGAGATAGAAAGCAGATGGGGGGTGTCGGAGGCTGGGGACGGGGTAGAGAGTCAGTATGTAACAGGACAGAGTTTCAATCTGGGGAGATGAGAAAGTTCTGGAGATGATGGTGACAACAGCCACACAACACCGAACGTCCTAATTACCACTGAGCTGTGCAGTTAACAGTGGTTAAGATAGACGTCTTCTTATGTGTATTTTACCACAACTAATATAAATTTAAAGAATACGGTATAAGGGAGCTTTCCGGGGGAACGAAGACATCACCCATCCAACTGTGGTGCTGGGTACGTAGCTATAGTGTTGTCGAAACGCATCGAACTGCACGCTCAAAGCAGGCAGGCTGAGGCCGAGACCTTATGTCACACTGATCGCCGACGTAAACGTGAAAAACGAACCGCAAACGCACGATGGCGCAGGCACACTGCCGTCTGGCACCGTGCGTGCTGGAACAGGGTCAGTCCTTGGCAAACACGTCCCCAAAACCTAAACCGAGAAGAAAACCGACAAATGCAGCCCTGGAAACGGAACTGAAGATGGGACCCCTGACATCCAGGGACACAGCCCATGGTCGGCCACAAAGGCAGGAGGGTCCCAGACCTGGAAGGTGAGAACACAGGCCCCACCTCGCCTGCCTGCCAAACCGCCGAGGCCACCTGTGACCTCTCCGCCCACGCACTGGGGCTGGACACGCACTCAGTCACGCTCCTATGTGGGCGCCACGGCCGCGATTTCTCCCCTGCTTGTTTCCATGCTGGTTTGGTTTTTCTGGCACATTCTACATGGTGAGTGTAGGCTCTGGAGGGTTCCCTCGCCCCTGAGAGTCCCCGTGGGGGTCTGCAAGGGTGAGGCGGGGCCGGGTGTCAGGCCAGGCCCCAGCCCGGGCCCATGAAGGAGGAAGGTCTGTCTGACACCCCAGGCGCTGCCCCACATCTGCCGGGGCTGAGCTGAAGCCAGGTGCGTTCCTGACCCTGGTGCCCTCCTGAGGGCGCGTGGGGTACCTGCCCTCCCCCCATCCCGGTCTGCCTGGGGACCCTCAGGCCCTCCCGAACTGGACCTTTGTGAGGCCCCAGGAGGTTGAAGCCAGCTTGCAGCAGCTGCCCCCGCCCTGAGGCCGTCCCTTAAGGTCTCTATTGCTACTGCTCTGACAGCCCCTCTGGGCCACAGGGAGGGCCCTGGGCAAGCAGCCCCCAGCGTCCCAGCTCGGCGCCGCTGCCACAGGCCCAGCTTCTGGAGCAGAGGAGCTCTGGGCCCAGCTGGCAGCTGTCATCACCTCCCGGGGCATGAGCCGGGGTGGAGAGGGGCCAGGAGGGAGGGGGCCAGGCTCATGCCCACCCTCCAGCTACCGGGTCTGGATGCTTCACGGGTGGGCAGAGAGGGGAGGCTGGTGTGAGACTATGGTCCCATAGCACCCGGTGGCTGTGCACCCACTCCTGGTGCAGTGGGGCACCCCTCCTGACCCCGGCATCACCATCTGGGCAAGGCCAGGTCAGGAGGGACACTGCGAAAGCGTCACTCAGAAGCGGGTATGTTCTCTTGGTCCCAGCCTGGTGCGGGGAGGGGGAGGCGAGTTCATCTAAGGCCACCCGCCCCACCCCACCCCTGCTCGGTCCCCTCTGGTTCCATTCAAGGCCCCCGCCAGAGCATAGCTCCCAGGGCCGGGAGGTGGCACGTCAGGGGGGTGAGGGACGGGGCTGGGGAAGGATCCACAGTGGAAAGCACTGGTGTCTCCACTGCCCGGGCGGGCGGGACGGCCACTCTCCTGGGTCCTTCCCCCCCACACCCCCTCCTAAGTTTACGCATGGAAGTTGAGGGACCCCAGTTCCCACGGGGGTCTTGAAGAGGGGGCAGGGAAGCTTCCATCCCAGAGTAAAGGCCTGGCACCGGGCCAGGCCCGGGCATGGGGATCGAAGACTGAACAGACACCTACAGGCACGGGCCCCCTGGAGGGCGGTAGCTAGGGTTCCAGCCCCTTCCCAGCTCAGGTGGGGGGGGCCCTGCTGGGAAGCTGACCCAGGGGCAGTGGGCAGCCCCGGAGCAGCCCCCAGACCTGTGATCACGTCCTGAGAGTTATCTACTGACCCAGCGCACCGGAGCCACATCCTCCTCCCATCCTGGCCCTGGGCCCATTCGGTGGTGGAAGAAAGGGGTCACTCCAGGTCAAAGTACAGGTGGGAGGGCCCCGGGCTGCAGGTCCGGATCCCGGTGGAGGGGTGCGCCCCACCAGGGAGAGTGTCAGGGCCAGGACTCACTTTCCTGAGGTGTGCGATCCCGGCCGCGGGCGGCGGTCACAGCGCGCTTTGTCTGCGAGGACCCGGCCGGCGGGGCAGCCTCGGCCGAGACACGCGGCA